TTCTTGTTTCTGTTATTTAAATTACAATGGCCCTATGTACCTCTGTTTTCTGATGGTAATACAGGCTTGTGGGTAAGTTGGTTAATGGAAGTGTTAGGTTTGAATTTAACTCTGAGAAATAGTGCCTTTGGCTGTTCTGTTCCTTTAGTAAGTGCTAGTTACACTGAGACGCTCTAGGCAACTTAGAATTCTTTTTTTTCCTAGGATTTTGAAGCCTTGACTCCAAACCTACTGGCCAGAACTGTTGAAACAGTAGAGGGGGGTGGAATTGTGGTGATTCTGCTGCGAACTATGAACTCACTGAAACAGCTCTATACAATGACCATGGTATGTATGTTCAGTCTCACACGCCTGTTTTACATAGGCAGCGTGCCTTTTTTTTAATTTTATATTTTTTATTAGGAGCTGTGATCTTCCTTCTGTCAGCTTTTCTGCTCCTTTATTGATCTCTCACTGGATGTGTGTCTTTTGTTTAGGCAGTTATGCCAAACCACATATCTGGGCTTGCTGCGAGGCTATGAGGCAGAAATTCCCGTCATCGCAGATGTAACTGTGTTCTTTTGTTTAGTTGTTGCGTTGGAAAGTGTTAGTGCTGGCAGCCCGTGTAACAGAAGCTGAGTGGGGTATATCGTTTGGTGTTTCACACCCTGGTGCTACATGAGAAGTTAGCTTTACAAGTGGGAAATATTTCTAAAATGTGACCTATCCACACTGAATATACTTGCTTGTCGGGCAGCATCTTCTTCTGTTAGTATTATTGCCAGTACATGAATGTAAGTAATAGACTATTTTTTCTTAGCATTCCTGAAGTGTTTGAAATGTTCTGTACCTGAGAGAAATGATGCTTAAGGGAGGACATAGTCTACAAGGGTGGAAAAGAGGTTGCATTGCCCCATAAGTGGTACTCTTATAAACATCACAGTTGCACACTCTTTTTAATTTTTTTTTTTCCTGTGGTTCAACTTCTTTTTGTTTCAGGATGTCCATTCTCGCTACAGAACAGAGGCACACCAGGATGTAGTAGGAAGGTTTAACGAAAGGTATGTTATTAAGAATGTAAAGTGTCTAGGCTAATACATCTGCATGTCCAAAAAGGACAACCAGAACAACCTCTGGTATTTGCATTAGGAAAACTTCCTTCTTGTTTGTATTAGAATAGGGCTTCTTTGATACTTAAGTGAACTTCTTGTGTTCTGTAATAGAAATGAATGATTTTTGGAGGAGTTGTGTGCAAGGGATATACAGATGAGCCCAAATGTGTTAGCACTTGTAAAGTATTCTGAGGCCATTTCTTAAAATTCTCTATAGAAATATGTGCTTCAGTTGAACAGAAATTCAGAGACTTCTGTGCCACTCTAAAACATGAAACTGCTTTGTGTGAAGTCTTCTTTATGATTTTGTAATAGTTTCTTGCAAAGGTGTTTTCATCACTTCTGTTGTATAGAGCAAGCTCCTACGGAGTGAGCCCAGCCCATTGAAAAGTACAGAATTTGTCCTTTAAGCCTGCAGATGGTGGTTAGGTGATATCAGGATAAAACAGAATGGTAAAGAAACTAGCACTGTCTGCAGTCTGTGGGAATTTGTCACAGTGGCTCTCATGGTAGGTCACCTTAAGTTAACAGCCTTCTTCAGCAGCATCCTGGTAGTTGGATGGTTCTTCTCTATAGACCACCCTGATTTAATGTAAAGAGGCACACTGGTAATAGCGTGAACTTAGTGCAGCTGCAAACTAGCTATAAATACCATGTTCGTGTTGAGAGGAGAGGATAAAATAACTACCAAAATGCAATAGTGTTGCTAGTGCTTTTTGCCGATTTGATTTTTGAAATAAGATCTTGACTGCACAGGTTCATTCTTTCTCTGGCCTCTTGCAAGAATTGCATTGTGATTGATGACCAGCTCAATATCTTGCCCATCTCCACTCACGTTGCAAACATCACACCTGTTCCACCGCGGTCACAGGTCAGTAAACAATGTCAGCAGCTTTTCCCTGCAAGAACAGGCCTCAACTGGACACTGTGTTAAAGCTTTAGTCAATATGAAACTTTCCTTTCATCCCAATTGATAGCAAATAATGGTCTTACAGAGAGGAAGAAAAATGTTTTGCAGAGAATATCGTATCACATATCATTGAAGCACGGGAAACTGTCTTTTCCTATTTCTCTCCCCACCTTTTTTTTCCATACCTGTCTGCATTTTTTGGTTTTATGGTATTGCCATTTGGCCTAGCAGGGCAGAGCTTAATTCCCTGTGACTGCTCCTTCAGTGCATAGAGAGATTTAAAGTTGGCGCACAGTACTATGTACTCAAAATTCTCTCCTTTTTCTTTCCCTTCTTTGTAGCCATTCTTTTGAAAATGCATTTAAATTAAAGTGTTAAATACCTGTCCATCCATTCAAACTTTTTCATCCCTGGGGAGTATAGTCAACTTGTGGTAAAACTTTCAGTTATTGCTGTCTGCTTGGTCAGATATGTGTTATCTGTGCTGAGCTGTCTCATTAATCTTGTGGTAAATCCTATGCTCATAGGAAGACAGTCTCCGTCCCCAGGATATAGAGCTGAAAGAGCTGAAGGAAAGCCTACAGGATACACAGCCTGTCGGAGTTCTGGTGGATGGCTGTAAAACTCTTGATCAGGTTCGTGTCATGTTCAAACTTGGGGTGCTTTGTGCTGGGGAGAGGGGAGAAAGCTCTAGCTATTTCTCACACGTTATTTTAGTGGTGTTTTTTAGTGGATCTCCTGTTTTGCCTTTTTATCATTCCTTTACCTTCTAGGAAATAAGGTATAAATTGGCGATAAGATTAAGTAATGCTTAAAGTGATTTGTCCAAAGAGCTTTTTGTTCTCTCTTTTTTTTTTTTTTCTTCTGATCATCAGGCAAAAGCAGTTCTGAAATTTATTGAAGCCATATCTGAGAAGACCCTGAGGAGCACTGTGGCATTAACAGCAGCTAGGGGACGTGGTAAATCTGCTGCTTTGGGTCTGGCTATTGCTGGAGCAGTAGCTTTTGGGTGAGTGATGTCCTCATCTCCCAGACTTTATTTTCACCTGTAAAAAAAAAAAAAAAAAAAAAAAAAAGCTTTTTATGTCTGTATCTATATGGAAAAGTTGGAAAAGGAGTTAATATTTTCTTTTTCCTGTGTAGTTACTCCAACATCTTTGTCACATCTCCAAGCCCTGATAACCTCCACACCCTCTTTGAGTTTATATTTAAAGGCTTTGATGCACTGCAGTATCAGGTAAAGAAAAGAGACTATTTTACAATACTTTCACAGAGCCGATATTTAGCATGGATTTTACATCTCATCTGTAGATTTTGTTTGTATGTATTTTGTATGGTAGCTACAAGCTAGTGCTACATATTTATACTTATATAATTATACCTCTATATGTTTATACTTATATAATTATATCTCTATATTACATTTATATCATTTACAAGCTGTATATTGTATATATCAGCTACAAGTTCCTGCCCTGACAACCTCTTTAATAATGTTCGACAAAAGTGAATCATGGCACAGTAATGTTTTCTTCCATATGTGTAATTTGGGAAAATCAGTTTCTTTCTTTAGAGAAACAAGTCAGTCCTTAATTTATGTCTTTTGAAGCTTTTGTTACCATAATTTGTAACTGACTTCTTGCTGTTAGAATCTGAAATAACGAGGTACTCATAGTGAACGCATTTTCTTCAGAATACTAGTTTTCTTCTTCTTCTTTTCTTTTTTTTTGGCTTGTTAAATTTGTTTAACAATGTTTTATTTTAGGAACATCTAGATTATGAGATTATTCAGTCTTTAAACCCTGAGTTTAACAAGGCTGTTGTCAGAGTGAATGTGTTTAAGGAGCACAGACAGACCATTCAGGTAATGGGCCTCTCACATCCTTACATTTCTACTTTTGTTCAGTACTCTTTCTTTTTGCTGCTTTAATATTAAACATGTTCACTTTAGATGATGTGTAACTGTATCAGTTGATTTTGCTTCAAGGCAGACATTTCTTCTAGTGGGTGACTTCGGCAAATAAAGTATTTTGTTTCTCTCTGTGAATAACTTATAGATTACAAAGAATCTTTGGTGAATGCTTGTGAATTCCTTCCTGAAAGAGAAGATTCAGATAACTGTGATGGAAGAGCACATGTTCCTAGTGATAAATTTACTTTATTGTCCTGATCCATACAAATAAATGTGTGTGGTAGTGTACAAAATAAGATACGTGACCCTGTCCTTGCAGGATATCATGAACCCAGCTATTTTTTTTTTCTTAATGTCCGTCTCTTATATTTTCATGGAGAACAGGGACAACAAATGACTTCTCGGGGTTCCAGCTTGGCCACCTCTATCATTTTTCCAGCTGTCAGAAATAGTTGCTGTTGACAGTGACCGTGTCCTCTCACTCCTTGCAGTACATACACCCTGCTGATTCTGTGAAACTGGGTCAAGCTGAACTTGTCGTGATTGATGAAGCTGCTGCCATCCCTCTGCCGCTGGTGAAAAATCTGCTTGGCCCATACCTGGTTTTCATGGCTTCTACAATAAACGGGTAAGGTTTGAGCAGCTTCTGTCTACCTGGGAAACCAGCTGTGCAATGCACATGGACTGTCTTTTATCTACAACACATCATTTTTATTTATGTCTTTTGTTTATTACATGCTTTCAGAACAGGTCATCTGTTCTTCACTAATTATTGAACTTTTGTGGAACTGCTCCTTATGAAGACCAAGAGTCAGTTCTTGGAAATGATGCTTTCCTCTGGTTCCATCGCAGATTCATAAGTGTTTGTCTGCTCTGTTCTTGTATAAGAAGCAAATATATAAACAAGATCCTGCAGCTTGTTAGGAGAGGAGGAAGTACAGTGCATTTCTTCTGATGCAGTGAGATTAAAAAATGCTGGGGAAGGCTGCCTTGTGCTTCATGTACAAGAACATCAAAGGCAACAGTTCTCACGGATGGTGGAGGCCTTCATAGGCCTTCAAGTGGCACATAGCTCTGGAGGGCAGAGAAGGCAGCCTAGTTTTGGGCTGCAGCTTCCCTGTAGCTTGGGACTGACACTTGGGTGCTGGTTTCAGACTTTTGTCCTCTGTTTTTCAGGTACGAGGGAACTGGCCGATCATTATCTCTGAAGCTCATTCAGCAGCTCCGGCAGCAGAGTGCACAAGCACAAGTCTCAATGACAGCAGAAAACAAAACTACAGCTACAGCTAAGCTCACCTCAGGTACTCTTTTGCACTTTGGGCTGCAGGATAGCTGTGAGTGGCAGCACTGCTGACTGGCGAACACTGTGGGTACCCCTTGTGTTGTACTCCGCAGCTGTTAGGAAGGTGAATGTGAGGGAACTCTCCTCACTTTTTCCTCATCCTTTTCAGATGTAAAGGTTTTTAGGAGATGAAGGGCATGCAAGCAGTGTTGCTCTACCTGCTACATGGGGATCCAGGCTGAAGGCTCCAGTCCAGTCGGGAACAAATACGATTCAGCAGAGTTACAGTTTTTGATTGCCTGCTGCTCTGTTCAGTTTTGGGTGTCCTTCTAATCCCCTGGGAGCCCTTCAGAGGACATGTATCTTGCGTTTTACTACCTATAACGCTGAACACTAACGGTTCTCTGAAATCTCTTTGCAGCTCGTACATTGCATGAGGTCTCCCTCCACGAGTCAATTAGATACGCCCCGGGCGACCCTGTTGAGAAGTGGCTAAATGACCTGCTGTGTTTGGACTGTCTCAACATTACCCGAATTATTTCTGGCTGCCCACTGCCTGAGACCTGTGACCTGTATCCTTGCTCAGATGTGCCCTGATAAAATACATTTCTTTGAGGTGAAAAGGTTTTTTTTCAAGCTGATTAACAGTGGCTCATGTTCTTAGCCCCATACAGTTTTTGACTTTTATTTACACGTTGTCATGTATGTTATTTGTCTGTGCTGTAGTTCAGTTCAAGCTGCCTTGGGCCCTAGAATGGGGGTTAAACACCCTGCTTGGCAGGGACTTGACTTAATCCAAAATTTATGGCTATATAGAGAATATCACTCCTAAACCAACAAAGATTTTTTTTTTCTCTTTGTTGTTGTTGTTGTTTGTTCAGGTTGTTTCCTAAACCTCTGTGTTTAGATACTATGTAAATAGAGACACACTCTTTTGTTACCACAAAGCCTCAGAAGTTTTTCTGCAGAGACTGATGGCTCTCTATGTGGCTTCACACTACAAGGTAAAGCTTGTTCTGTATCCATCAAATATTTGGTTAGAAGTTTTGTGGACGGAGCATTGCTAGTTTAGGACAGTCTTAATTGAATTGGCTTAATTGAATTTTTGTGGACAGCTTCAGGTGCTTCTTGTTACCTACAGACTTGTATTCTTTCTACTTTGAGGGCATCTGCATCCTCCTAGCTGAATATGCTACAATTACAGATACATGTTACGTTAACAGAAGTTAATGGAACAGAACATAATAATAAAAGAAATTAGAGAAATTTTGGAGATTAAATTCTTGATGAATTCACACTTATATATAACTTGTTCAGAATTATATCAGTGATTAGCCACCTTTCACAACTGTCTTTACAGTTTTTTAGTAGCCTAAAAT